GAATGTAATTTCATCCAGACAATGACAATACTGTAATTGCGTCCAGACAATACTTGTGAATTTCCTATTAACTCGATGGTAATGACACATTGTCTGGGATTTGTTAACTTCTCTTTCCACGATTGTTTACAGAGTTGAAGCAGGTTTGACTTCAGGATACACTACAGACTGGGTTGTGATTGACCAGATATTGTGCACAAATTATATCGTGTTGCAATTATTAACAGCCTTACAGCAATGTGAGTAAGAGTTGAATTAGATCTGTTTTGCACGTAATCGGATATCTTCTTTGGCAATTTGAAAGCAAAGGAAATGACTATTTGTGGACACATTGTTGAATCATGAACCAATGATTCCTGTGAAGGACTAACTAATGATGCTGGTGTAGAGTTTCCCAAAAGAAAATGTAAATTGTTGCATCCATTCTCCTCTGGAAGACGGATATTGTTATAGACCTGTTGGAGTGGAATACGGGTGCCTATGTTACGGTTTGTATCCAGACCCAAAAGCAGACACGGCAGCAAAGTTGAAGGATTTGAGGTTTTATTGCAGGGTTTGGGAAAGGTGGATGGCTGACTGGCTGGCTGGTAATGACGGCATGGAGGAGACTATGGAGTAGCTGGTTCTGTAGGCAGGCGGGTGAGTGGTTGCGTTGTCTGTGAGGAGAGCAGACTGGAGGAGATGACACCGGTGAGAATCTGGACAACAGGAGAGAAAAATAGGAACAAAACTCTAACAAATGTTAGGAGCAGCCAATAGTATCTGCCACTTCAGTAGACTCAATAATCTGGCAATAAGTCAAATTGAGCCCAGGGCTTTTAACTTGAGGCAGATGAGCAGATGAGCTGCAGGTGTGAGTAGTCACCCGGTGTTGATTGCAGCCACACCCTCCAGAGACACACACACAGACAGACAGAGGGGGAGAGGACACAAAGGATACACAGAAACAGGATCACAGCCAGAGCCATAACAGCCTACATGACCCGTTCTTCTGATTGGCTTGTTCTGAAAGTCCCTCGAGCTTTTACTGAACTCGGTAAATCTGCCCCAAATTCGTGGAACCCCCTCCAGCAAACTCTAAGGATTGGAGTTCTTCCCTCTCTTCCAGAGTTTAGGAATTTGATTTCGAACAACTTTGTTTCACATTGTAGCTGTTTTAAATGATCTCAGTGGTTTTTGTCACTGATTCTGAGTGTTTGATGTGGTTTTGCTTGTTTTACTGTGCTTGTAATCTCGACGGCATTGGAAATAAGGGAAACCTCATTGTCTTTTTCGAGAATGAATAAAGGTTTGATATGCATGATGCAATTTTTAAGAAGTTAATCACTTCCCTGGAAATTTCTAAACTTCTCTTTGAAGAAAGGACCAGATGGGTTGGGTATGTTGTGGCATTGTTCATTGTAGCTGTTTAGAACCATGTTTTGCAGTGATCTGATAATGCACACTTAACAGAAGTTAGTTTGAAAACCTTTGTTTTATTTATTTATTCAAAAGTGAGGCATGTTCACTCTAAACACGATCATGTTTCATGTATTGGTTTGTTTGCCTTTTAACCTGTGTGGCATGAGAAAGGCTCATTCTTATGGGCTATAGAGCCGAGTCTTCTGTGTTGCTGGCAAACGAAACGCAGAGAGAAAATTGAAGGTTCACGTTTGATGAATAACAAAAGGTGCCATGAAATATCTCAAAAGGAGAAAATAAAGACTCCTGAGCCATGTCCTTCCAATGATACTGCCAATGAGTGTTGCTGGTGTTTGAATCAATCCAGTCCTGATCATCTCTGAAGATGCATACTAGTCTTTTTTTATTTGATTTACATCATCAAACCTAGTATGTTTGACTGCATTATTGTACTATATACCATTGGGCCAATGTACTATCTATGGATAAAGGTTAAAGGTGTTTAGTTGAATTGTTTTGGTCATTTCCAACATTACTTAAACCGCTTTTTATGTGTCACACTAACCCAATCGAAACAGGTTTAAACGTCATGTTCTTACCATCGGTTCTTACATGGAGATACTCGTTACTAGGTAATCATAACCAGTGAGTGTCGGGTGTAACTGTTAGTAGATAAATTAATCACAAAGTTAATACTAGCTTGGTAATAGTTTACCTCTGAAGAAAACAAGTTAACATTGAAATACCTGTAGTTACTATACCATAATCACATTTGACCTGAAAATGGCTACATTTTGCTTTTAACAATTTAAACTTAGAATATTAAGTAACTCAAACATAACAGAATTCTTCAAGTAACATTTCAGTGTATAATCACATTACAGTGGATGGCGGTTGAAGTATCTCGAGGTCTTGTTCACAAGTGAGGGTACAGGACGGACCGTAATTGAGAGACGGATTAGCTCGTTGTGCCGGACTGTTGTGGTGAAGAGGGAGCTGAGCCTGAAGGCAAAGCTCTCGATTTAGCCATCGATCTTCCTCCCAACTCTCACCTATGGTCATGAACTATGGGTAGTGATTGAAAAAAAATGAGATTGTGAATACAAGCGACCGAATTTGTTTCCTCCAGAGGGTGGCTGGGCTCAGCCTTAGAGATAGGGTGAGCTCAGAATAGAGCTGCTGCTCCTTCGTATCAAAAGGAGCCAGTTGAGGTGATTTGGGCATCTGATTTTTCACATTTTCCGTCTCTCTTTAGCTATCTTATAAAAGCAAAAATAGGCCCCAAAGCAATCTTTGAAAAAAGAGAAGGAAAAGTTAGAAATTACTTCATGACAGCCGATAATTAAGAATTTAAATGTAGGGATTTAAAAACAACATTCAGATTGGAATAAACTCAAATAGTGTAAATTTGAACAGATTAAAATATACAGAATTTAAATAAGTGGTGTGCACCTTGTTACAGTTGTTTTAAACGTTCTTTACTCTCGCTTTGAATGCTGGCTCAATTGCTTCGTTTCACAATAAGGCTGAAGTTTAGCTGTCAGCTTTCAACGAAAAAAGGATTTCCTGTCAGCCGTTTTCTTGTGCACATTGAAGGTGTTTGCATTCTGGTCAGTGGTGTGTAGGTGTTTGCTGTGGGGTACTCCCCCTCAGCAGAGATCTCAGGAGGGAAATACTACAGAAAGTCATTGCACAGCAAAAAGAAAGTGGTTAAGAGACAGAATGCTCGGGAGAGAGAGTGTGAGAGAATTACTGTAAAACGCAAGCTATGCTTCCAGTAACTTTGGTATTTGGTTGATTCAAAGTTCAAAGTACGTCTCACTGCTGTGGAGCGACAATGATCAAGTCAGAATCATATTTTGAGGTTTTGTTTTTTGTGTGCTCATAAATATGACATATTGTTTTAGTGTAGAGACGAGCAGTGGGACGGATTCACTGTGGTCGTGTTTCCTTTGAGAGAACGGTGGTCTCAAGGTTTTCTCATTTACTTTGAACTCAAAGAAACGTTCCGTCCTTAGAGTACATAATGAAACTCAGTATCTGCAATGTTACACACTGCTGTTTCTGTAAGTATTATTTATTCAAACATCTTTACGTTTGAACTCTGCAAAGTTACTTGACTCCCAACAATGCCTCTAAAACAGGAGCATCTTTTGTCACACATTTTGTAATGTATCAATCTGAAATCAGGTAGTACTCCTTTTGAGTTTCATTTGTGACTGATCGAGTTTCATTTCCTGTATTTTCTAGGAAAAGCCTGAGGAGTAAACAATGAGGGGCATACAGCTTATGGACTTCCTAAAGTTTTATTACCAGAAAGAGAGGGTGGAGAGCAGGATTCCCGTCAGCGCTGTAGGTCAGTGTGACGTGTCCGCTCATGGGAAAATAAATTTGGCAGAATGTCCAGGTTTGTGCATTTTTGGATGTGTTTAAATGTCAGAGATTTTCCCATGTAAAATGAAATGCTAAAGGCATTAAGATACAGAGAAGAGACAAAACAAAAGAGTATTCAATCATTATTATTTTTCTTTTCTTTCCCAACAAGAAAACTCAGCAAAGCAGCTTCATTTTGGCTTTATGTTTTGATATGGAAACCCTCCTCATAGTCTCCATGTCGGTGATGGATGATTTTTATAAAGTAAGGTTATGCTTACCTAACGACTCTTAAGTAATATATTTTTACATGGCCAGAAATAAAGCAGTGCTTCACTTTACATGTAGGGCTGAACGATGTTGGGAAAAAACTGACATTGAGGTTTTTTGTTTCTTTCTGTGATATACGTTGCCATTTTCCAAACAAAAAAAGGGAAATGTTTTCCAGATCAATTTAGTGCCTTTTTATGTATATCAACTCAAATTTCAAACAAATATTTTGCTTTTGTTTTTTGGGGGCCTTAACGTTACTTATGATGTCAAATCTAACCCCTTCCCTTCTTTCATCACACACTGAGTCCAGACCTCTGCAGCGACTCTCACGCACACAGAGAAGTAGAGACCACATGTGGAGCGAGAGAACAACAAACCATTATTGTGTTACTTGTATGCCACTAACCATTGTTAACGATGTTCAAAGTTATGTTTAGTTTGCATGAAGGGTACAGTGATAGTGACTCCTAACTAACCGAAAGCAACTCTTAACTGTGTGTGCGCTTCACTTGTAGCTGCTAAAAGTAAACAATCAGCGGCACATCTGCTCCGTTAACGATCCTTAAAGGTCAGTAAATAAGGCCACGCATTAACAAGACGATACCCGGTAAAGGAATACTCTAATTTCAAACCTGCCTTGCGTAAATGACAACTGCCTAAAGCGTCATTCCAGGGTTATGTGACGTCAACGGCTTCTCCTGTATGTCTACATTTTACATGCAGGAACACACAGACTTTGTGTACATGTTTTTTGTTTGCATCAAACAACAGAAAAATTCAGAATGACTGGCATTGAAAGTCCTGTGATGTGACTATTGCACAGTCCCAGTGTTAAAACGATATATTGTTCAACCCTACTTCAGACATCATGGGATTTCAGTTTTTTTAAAGGCCTTATCATCACTGTATTGAAAGCATATAAAAAAAAAACACACACAAAATACTTAATATATGTAGAAACAATATCTTTAATATGCTACATCATGTGAATATAAAAGTATAATCAAAATAGTCTCTCACATATAAATTCTTAACATCTCATAACCTGTTTCAGAAAAATAAACTACAAAGACAAACATAATTTACAAGAGGGAAAAAAAAAGCTACAACATGTAAAAAATAAGTACATTACTGGCTCAGTAGTTTCAAGATCAATTCCTGCCTTCTGGTTTTCGGCTCAAACAGAGAGCATACAGATCTAGTTAAAGAAAAATTTCATCCAGTGCTATCGACCAAAAAAATATGAACAATGATAGAAAACGTAGTTGATACTTGTTGTTGTCCGGCGCTGAATATGAGGTTCTGGTGTCTAAACTAGGATTTTGGACGCAGCTCCAGTTCACAGACATTAACAGTAAAGCTTTGTAGGAAAATATGAAAACATATGAATCCTGTAAAAATCTACTTGGTGAAAAACTTAGTTTATCAGCATGTGAGATTTCACATTAAAACAGTAGCATAGTGCAGTAAGAAAGAAAGAAAAAGCCCTCGTATTTCATTGTAATGCTAGGATACAATAAACATGGTATTTATTTTCTTTTTGTGTTGTTTGGTTTTATCCAGCACAGTGCATCTTTGATACTTTACAGTTAAATGAGCTAATGCTTTGTCATAACATCTTTTAAGCCTATAATGTAAGAATGAGAAATGAATAATCCTAAACCGCGATAATGTACACATTTAAGATCTTCTGTCGTAATTTTGGCAATTTCATAGTAAAACACAGTTTAAGTTACCTGATTTTTTCCCTTTTTTTTAACTTAAATAAATAAAATAGTTGCATTAAGCGAGGAGCATAGAGGAGGTTTGTGCTTTGTCATATCGATAAGAACTTCCACTCATTACACACCCCAAAAGCTCAAACACACTAAGTACAACAATGCACACAGTATGACAAGTGAAGACTCATCTACAGGTTTGTGTATTTTTCCTGAGTCCATTTTTTGGTTTTCCCCAATGATTCACCCTCGGAAATGTCAACGCAGAGTGGGGAAAAAAAGAAGAAGCAGAAAGACAAACTATGATACAACTAAATAAATAAAGCCAACTCAAATTTAAAAAAAGGTAATAAGTTAAAGCACAAAAAAAGTTCTCTCTACCTGAGTGAACAAAGTAATAATACTTCACAGTTTGACAAAACAATCCTCCCTGTTTTGGTTTTTTTAAATTGACTGGGAGTAAGTACAATCACTGAATACCCTTGCTCAGTCTTTGGAATGCTCTTATTTTGGTACTGCGCTCAAGTTTCCCTTGTGTCCTTCAGGGACAATAAAGAAGCTTTATTTGGCGATGTCTGTTTTTTCTTGGTTGATGATATGCTGTATGTCCTTTTGATTTATTTTCCCTTCCTTCAGTTTGCTCTCACTGTCCTTCTGTCTTTACGGTTGGCCGTTTGTGGAGATGAACGACACTGGCCCTCTCCTGGTAGGACGGCGAGGGGCTGTGGTGTAATGAAGGTAGAGCTGATTGGGTCATTTGTATTGTTGGTGCATTAATGGCCGCTGTCAGAGCTTTTAGCAGTATGGTGGCCTCCTTCTGGTCCTCCTTCCCCTCCCCTTCCAAGGTACGGGCCAACCAGCGCTCCACACTTTCCTCCACCTGCAGAGCCGAAGCCGTCTCCGTCAGCGTGTCGGCCTCTTGGCTGGCGTCGAACCTCTCCACCATCTCTTTCATGTGCATGTTTATGGGTGCGTTTGAGTTGGCCAGGCAGCAGCTGCACTGGTGAATGCGCAGGGAGAAGCGGTGGAAGAAGGTCTGGGCGCAGAGCTGGCAGCGGTAGGGGCGATCGCGGCTGCTGTGGAGGCGGCGGTGCAGTTTGAGGTGGATGTACTGGGTGAATTTGGTGTTGCACAGCTTGCACTGATACGGTTTCTCCCCGGAGTGGAGGCGAAGGTGTGTTTTCAGGTTGCTGGTGCTACTGAAGCGTTTGTGACACACCTGAAAAAAATGAAATGAAAGGTTACCACTTTGTTCTTGACAATCAAATGACTGTTAAATAACACCTCCAGAAACCGTAGGGAATATTAGGATAGTCCAGAAAAACTTGGCAGTGCAGTATCTTGATGTCATCTTGATGAATTTAGCAGAATGGTATGAGGGTTGACCAAGTAATTCCAGTTTTTACTTTCATTAATCATCGAGGACTGCCATTCTGTCATTGTAAGACCAGTTTTGTTTGTACTTACAACACTCACGCCCACAAAGTCACACGAGCAAACAAAAGCCTAAAGATGCGATTAGATGACTAGGTGGGTAGTGGCTCAATGAAAATAAAAACAGAATCTGCTTTACCAGAACGGTTTGTGACTCAGAAAGAAGGTGGTGTATTTTGGATACAGTGTTTACTTTCCTTTGTTATGTCACATAAATGCCATCAAGAGACCAGTTAAGAGCTTTTATGAAGCTTGTAAAGTGAGAAGAAAATTAACCATTAGGTTAGGATTTTGAACATACCTGACACTCATGAGGTTTCTCCCCTGTGTGGACCAGGTGATGTTTCTGGAGGTGGGCCAGCTGAGTGAAGCTCTTTTTGCATAGGTTACACTGGAACGGTCTCTCACCACTGTGCACTCGGAGATGGACCTAGAATTACAGAGATCGTACAAGAAAATGGATGAGTTTGGGTGTGAATTGGTAAGATCTGAAGATTGCATGCTGAAGACATTCAATTGAATCATCGTTACAAAAAGACTGGAGATGAAGCTGTACCTTGAGGTTTGAGAGTTGTCCGAAAGTCTTGGAGCAGATATTACATTCATACTTGATCTTTCCGTTCTGCTTCTTCAGTGGGTAGGGCAGGGATTTGTGCCCGGGGCCGTTGCGCGGTGCTGTGTTGGTTTTGGTCATCGTAGCCAGGCTTAGATTCATGGCCTCCTCGCAACCAGAGGGAGAGTGCTCAGGCGACTGATGCTGAGCACTGGCCTTGGGGACGGGAGAGAGCTCTGGGGTGAGTGGAGCGCCTCGTGGCGGTGACACATTTGGTGTGAGTTCTTTCAGACCCCCTTGTGAAGAAGGAGGGTAGGGGAGGGACACTGGGAGAAGATTGGGTTGTCCAATGGGTGGATATGGGACACCATCTGTACCCAGATAGCTGCCGTATCGGAGGGATCCCCTTGAGGGCAGCATTCCGGGAAAGGGAGGAGAGTAGGACGGGAGAAGGAGGCGAGGATAGTGTGAGCTGAAAGGAGGAAGAAGCTGGAAGGGAGGCTGGAGGGATCTGGACTGGGGGTACAGAGGGTAAGATGAAACAAGGCCCTCCCTGTGCCCGTAGAGGCCATGCAGGTGAAGAGGAAGACTTCTGTGGGAAGACTGGATTGAAGGATGGTGATCAGGTAAGTATTGGTGATTGAGACCCAAGCTGGGCTCTCTGTGATGAGGCTGAGGGGAAGGAATGTTTCCCTGGTCTTCTGGTTCTCTGTCGCTCGGCTCCTCCTTCTCAACCTTTTTACTGAAGTCCATGATTTGGTCATCGGGCGTATCGGGCGGTGTGTCTCGCTCTAACATCTCCACGTCGATCTTCTCCTCTCCATCCTCATCCCTCTCCTCTTTCACTTCTTTTGTTCTTTCTTTAAGCCATGTCTGCTGAGGTAGGTGCTGTTTGGTGTACTCTGGTTCATGTTCTTCCTCAGAACTTGTGTATTCTGCAAGACAAGAAATTGAAAAAAGATCAGTAAATTCTCGATGCGTAAATACTTGAATCAAATAAAATACCAAATATTGAACCCATGTCTAAAATGTCAATCTTATGTATAGATGAGTTAGAATCCCTGAAACATGCAACCATACATCTCCCCAACAGAAGCCGCTCCCTCTGATGGTAAATGATAGTAGTTTCAGTATTGACTTTACTCGTGAAATCACACACTGAAGGTTTCTGTTTGGCAGTAGCAGTAGTGATTTTAGTGTGAGCAAATAGGTCGGCGGTTGAGTGTGTGGGAGTCCCTGTGTGATGTCGTGTGTGAGAAGCTGTACACCAAATTCTGAGTTTCATTTGCGAAACCTTTTCTTGGTATAGCTGTCATACCATACCGACCACAAGATATGACACATCTCTTCCCTTTTTCCCCCTTCTCTATCTTCGTTTGAGAAAGTCTTACTTGTAAGGCTTTGTCATTATTACTGGATGTCCATCGCCGTTTCATGGCTTTCTACTGAGTTTATCATGATCGCATTGGAGGTCTCTACATAATCTGGCCTATTTCTACTAAACTTTCCCAAACCATACCATACCTACAGACATACTGCAGGGTTTCCTTAAATCTGGCATGAAAAGGGTTTTATCACCTGAATTGTGCGCATCATTTCTATGCTGTCATTATCTTACAATGAATAAATATAAAGCCAAAGGTAATTCACAAAGGACCTCTGCATTAGTGCGCTTCCTACCCAACTGCAAAAACAACAACCCTGAACTTCTTGTTTTCAACGAGATTTAGAAAATCAACCAACAACAAAAGCATGAGCAACTGTGCCTGACCAGGGCTAAAATGTGAAAGCTTTTAAGATCTTTTAAGCTAATAAAACAATGCATTAGTCACCAAGGTGAATGGCAACGCATCTGGTGTATCCAGTTGGCATGAGTCACCAGACTTAGTGGCAGCAGAGAATGTTTCAGGGTGATGAGGGTATGACTTGCTGTTCTGCTAATAGCTGACAACAAATGACTCACAAAGGTACTTTGGACCTGCCATTATTCTCCCTTCTCTTCTGTCCTTAAATACCTACGTCATCAACCCACAACCCCTTGGAATACTGAGATTTGTTTTGTCTGTGTGTGAGTGAATTCTCCATGATCTCACATAAATATTTGGACATGTTCCGTAAACAATAGGATGAAATAGCATCAGGGCCAACTCTATTGTTGATGAAAGATAACATCAGGTCAACAGGAAGTGCATAACTTTGCGTCTTTATTCCCTTTGAAGTGAAAGAATTTGACTCTTGACGTCCATCCTTCTGCTGAGGCATACACTGTGTGACATGTTCAGTCATCACGTTATCACCTCCCGATCTTTATTTTTAGTTTCTGTGCTGCCTCACCAGCAACAGCTGATAATCAGCTGATAATCTGTTTTTTTCCCTGAGATCAGAAGAAGAGAGGCTTTGATAGTTTGTGAAATGTTAAAAAAAAAATGAGTCAAGGGAAAAAACTATAAAATATATTGGTCTACTTTTAACCCTTATGTGGAAAGGACTAACTAATCCTGATTCAAATCTAGAAAAAAAATGTTGCACTCACTTTGTTTGATGTCCACTTGTTGACTGCAGAGCCTCTGCGCAAACTCCTGGCTGTACCACACCAGCAGCTCCTGATTGGGCTCCACGGGTCGGATGGTGTAAAAGTAGATGTCCCTGCCGTTTTGACATGCCACCAGGTTCTGCTCGGCGGCAGAACGCGCCGGGTTGACGTAGCGCATCCAGTTGCTTCTGTGCACATCGTAGCCGTCGACGAAGTTTTGGAGTTGCCCACCGCTGTATATCTGCAGAAGATAAAATGTCAAAATAAGAAAATTTGTAATTTTTTTTTATTAAATTATTTAATATTTAGTTTATAAAATGTAAAATAATTAAAGCCTTATATTATCAGAGCAGCTGTAAGCCATTACAAAGCATATTTTGATCAAATTCCTAAAAGTATTAGAAACATCAGACTGATCAAAATCTTAAAACATTTTTTAAACAAATCACAGTAATTATAAAATGTCAAAATAATCACCTCTGCCATGTACAGTTAAATATCCTGAATTCTCTAAAGTAATGAGTTGAGATGTTTTTGTCTGCTCTGCTCTGTGTGTCCTGAGGGTTTCTCTGTTGTGTGTGTTTATGCCCGTGCCGTCACTTTATTTAAAGCTTGGAGGCGTGGCTCACAGTCACTGCCCCGCTCACTCTCCCTTTTCCTTCCTCTACATATTTTCTCTTTCCTTCTCGCTTAGTGCCGTTTCTCTCGTGCAGTTAACTTCTTAGAATACATGGTCGGTGGCGGAATCAATTACATGTCTTTTACACACACAAAAAAACATGTATTTGTTGTCCTTTGAGAGAAAAGGGAAGTGGAACTGACGGCTGCTTGACAGGTTCTGGCCGACTGCCAAAGAACACAAGGCATGCAGCTGGCAGCACGTCCGTTTCTCCTCCCACACCTCTGATAGCATAATTACTCCAGCACAACGTCAGACTTTCACTCTTGCAGCTTGGCAGGAACAGCCCCTTGCACAGGTTTACAGGAAACAGAGCCGGAAGGAAAATACGTGGGGTGACAACAAAAACTCCTTTTTTTGGGAATTGACTCAGCAGAATAGAGAATTTCCTGAGTGACACAAGTGGCAATTTCTTTACCAGACAATAAAAAGATAAATTAGGGACAGAAGTCTTGAAGGGGGCGGAAAGACAAGGATTGTCCCTTTTCTTTGTGTGTGACACATGTTGCATACATGACCTGAGTGCCGGTAAGGCTCTGATGACTGTGCAAGCGTGAATCTACTGTTTTACGTGCTGACAGGCTTCACAACTTCCTCTGAAAGTTTGACCAAAAACCCTGCACACCACTGCTGTCCGTGTGAAAGCCTTTTTGTTTCCTTATTTAAGTACGGACATAGGACATGTGAAACTTCTGTATCCGAGCAACCAATTATTTATTTTTTTGTATTAAAAGGAGCCAAGGAGGTGAAAACAGGTCCAAGGACACTTCTTAACTATTTTCATTGTTATAGTTTCACCATTCTCATGTGTTTTTCTAGCACCACATGAAGTTTGTATGCATATATATATGTGTAGAGATGCATGTGATTGTTTTTCTTACCCTCCAGAAGTATTTCCTGTTGGCCTGTTTGGGAACATTGTCTTTGGTGTAGATGTCTCCTTGCAGGGGGCCAAAGCGAGTCCCCTGAGGAATGTATTCTTTGCTAAATACACCCGTCACCTGGAACACAAACCGAGCACTTCATTAGATTTACTCACTTTCTCAAGTTTTCCCCCTTTCATTTTTGAAAATAAAGTCAAAGGAACCATGATAAAGATGATTTTTCAAGACTCATTAAGGAACTATTGGCCCTCTTGTTTCAAATAGATACATCCATTGCCTGTGCGTGTGTGTTATTAAAGTCCAAGTTGTTGTGTTGTCATGTTGACCCAGACAATCCTGAGCCACGTTAAAACCCACAAGGTGACACACTTTTCACACTAATGAGTTAAACGAGTAAAGAGCATTACACTTTCTCTGACCTACTCCACTGAGCTCTGACCTGCTGCCCTCGCAAAACACCGGAGGTAGAAGAAGCAGTGTCACCTGTTATAGCCAGGGACTTTGATTCTAAAAGCACAGAGTCAGAACAGTGGAAAGTAATTTAGGGTGTAGCTGATTGTGCGTGCTCTTTAGATTGATTTAAAGCCTTGGAGACACAGCCAGTGGATGTGAAAATCAGTTCAACCTTTGCCCCATGATTTTGTTTTTTAAGGCTTGTCCATACATATGCCTTGAAAATGTACATTTTGGAATTTCTTAACACCATGAGAAGTTGCCTGAGGAGATAACGTATGTGCAAGAACAAAGCTAGTACTGTTCCGTAGGTGTTGTTTTTAAAAACTAAGTGAGTAACTAAAATGAGGATTATTTAGTTAGGATCAACAGGACATGTCGGTGTCCTTTTTTTTTATTGAGCTTCAGGGTTTACACTTTTCATAGAAAGTGTTGAGGCTTGGGGTCAACCCTACTCAACTCACACCCAAACACACGCCATCAGGGCGTTAGCATCTGTGGCATACACACAAGCTGCAGTGTCTTGAGGAGCTTTTGTGTTCAATCCTTAAATACCCCCCCCCACCCACCCAGCCACCCCCATTTTTTAAACACTGTTTTATTCCTGCCATGGAGGAATTATCATTCAAGATTACCCTAAAAGAGATTTTCATGTCCTCTTATGTTAAGTACAAACGAAGACGACAAACATCGGACACTTTGCGATTATCAACTACAATTTGAAATGCGGAGTAGATTTTGTGAATGCTGCTGAAGTACTTAATTAAGAAGAACAGGTCACGGAGGGCAGCAGGAGTGTGTGTGTGTTTGTGTGTGTGTGTGTGAGTGTGTGGCAGCGACAGAGTCGATGCAACTGAGGTGATTCCCGGATGCGATGAACCAGTGTGACAGCGACATTGTGCTTTTCTGGTGTTGCGTGACTAACGAATCGCTGTGGCCGCTTCTCTGCTTCTTAACCGCTCAGTTTAGCCAGGTTGGGAAGAGGACGGGGGGGGGGGGGGTGTTAGAGAACAGAAGAAAAGACGATGGGCGTTCTTAAGTGAACCCACGCTATCACACTCCTGAGCGCCCTCCTTTTTTTTTTTTTCTCCTTTCCCTCCCCCCCAATCCTTCGTCTTTTCTTAACCCTCTCGGACAAGCACACGTGCGCCTGCCAGGTCGAGGCCTGATGCCTGGCCGGCTGCCTGGCCCCAACGAAAGTTAATCATCTGGTTTTAACCTAAATCCCTCCCCCACCACCACCACCACCACCCCCACCTCCTCCTCCTCCTCCAGCTCCTCAGCTTCTCCTATCCCCTGCGTTGCCTCTTATCACAGCTTTGTGGCACCCGTTACACAATCCCATCTGCCACGTACCCCCTTTTTTCTAGCCTTAGAATTACCTGGAAGCTTTGAATGAAAACGTAAGGAAAAGAGCATTCAGAAAAGGTGTCCAATTGGCCTAACAAATCCTCCTTGAAGCCAAAAGTGCGACCAGTCAAGTATGACCAATGCATTCCTTGTAGCTCTCTGTTTCCATTCACCCCACTCTACATTTGACTCATCCTGTTGATGAAACAAGTGGCCTACACACTTACCTGTGTTAAAAAAAAGAATCCCTGCTCTCTGGAATTTCTGATTACTGGGTAAGCAGCACCTTAAGGTGACAAGTGTACACACCATCCCATGACACCCATACAAGGAGTGTCTGTCATTATGATGATTGCAGGAAGTCCATTTCCAATACTAAGTCAAAAGAGGAAAATTAGAGTAGATTTACTGGCAAGCATGTGAGTGTGAGTGTGTGTGTGTTTGTTTTCATGTCTCATTTTTATCTGATGTGTTTTTGATTCTCTGTACGTTAAAACACGTCAGCACTCGCATCTCTTCCAGTGTTGCATGCAAATATAGGATAAAATTACATTTTTTAGAATTATGATCTGTCACCAAGCGCTTGTTTACACATGAGCACAAAGCATATGCCAAAATCATCGTCAGGTTGCATGACTTAGCCGGCCAAAAAAAAGATGCCTGGGGGATTCGAAAATAACCCCCAAAGAGATTTTTATCACCTTGATTTGCAAGGTTTGTTTTTTTTCATGCCACTGGAGTAAAGGAGGAAGACATGAGAGTATAGAGACAGTGAGAGAAGAGGAACAACTACTAAAAGTGTCGCCCAGGTCCTGAGAGAAAGAGGAAGGGGGGGGGGGGGGGGGGCAGCGCAAGTCGACCACAAGCAGCAGAATGTTTGACTGCGACTTCAAAAGAAGTTTGACATCTTTGCTCTTCTCCTCCTTTCAAGATGAACTTTTTCTAGCTGTAGTAGGAAGTCCTTTTTAAGGTAGACATGATTGTCAGGCTTTCATTAGGCGGCATGTCCAGGCATATACCTGATGTCACTTCCAAACAGTCAGCTGACTGAAATAGCTCTGAGATATTGAGATATAACGCTCTTCCTGACTCACATAAGTGTGAGAGGAAAAAAGAAGAAAAAAAACAGGACATGAAACTCTTTGAGATTAGATCACCTTCAGGAAAGTGAGCAGGTCACTGACATTTGCTTTTATCTAGTGTAAGAGTATCAGCTTGTGTTATTGTTCGTGTAAGACAAGAGTTGCGCAATGGCTACATTACAATGACATAATGAAAAAAAAAAAGACCTGAAAGGCCCCTGACCTCAAGCTGTCAATGGACTCCACATTGACACACACTGTGCACTCTAGTGTATATGTGAAGAACTCATTAGTCAGCAGATCTTTTGTTTCAAGAGCCCAAATGCAGATGGCCAAACATAATGTTACGTAACAGAATTCATATGTTAAAGATTAAACAGTTGTTTTAATCGGACACAACTGGAGACTCAAACAAACCTGAGGTAAGCTTAAAATGACAATTTACTGGATTCCAATATAAACTGCTTGTAGCATCAGGCTGCTTGGTTGCCGCTTAATGGTGTATATTGTTTGTAGCTATATCTCTCAATGCAAGAACTGTCTGAGGTAACCCGATTGCTCTTACCTCGTTGTCTGTGCTGTACTCGAAGGTGAGGTTACGCGGGATGGAGGTCATGGCTTTGGGCAGGTTGAAGCTTGGGTCCGACACCTGGTCCGGCACAATGTAGGTGCAGTTCAAGGCAAAGTCCAACTCCCTCCATCCGCTCATGGCTCCAGGTGTGCTATCCAGCTTCATCTTGACAATATGGATAAATATACTTGAATGTAGGCGATGGATTCAAGCTGTTTTTGGACCTTGGGTTTGGTTCGGGTTGCTTTTTTGGTATAGAAGTACTTTGGTTTAGTTGAGTAGGTCCGTTATCTTTTAACGCTGGTTAAAGCTCAAGATCTGGAAAAAAAGAAAGTGGAAAAAATTTTAGTAACACAGAAGGAAATGTTTTCATATTAACTTTGGTGTGCATGCATGTTTGCTAAACATTACTAGAGTTGGCTGCTTAATTCAATAATCTCTGTTTATTATTCATTCATTATTCAGGCAGCTAGTTCCATTCATGAAAACACCGAAGTTCATTGACACTCTTCCTGGCAGTCATCCCAGAGCTGGCCTTCAGCCTGCGCAGCCATTCTTAATACGGCCAATGGATCAGCTCCTTCTGTATCATTTATCCACCTCTATAACATCATAATCGTAATTGAAAGAAATGTAAAAACAACTTACTTTCTCACATTCATTCAGCTGTAGGATCCTCATGTCTTTGGCTATGTCATCCCTCGATTCAGCTTTCTCCTCTTTACACTCTCTCTTCTTTCCCCAGTGTGTTTTTATTATTATTTTGTTTTCTTCCGGAGGTTCCTTTCAGTTAAGATCCTTTGGGTATCCGCTCTTGCTTGCTGTGGCTACTCTTGTCACCAACCACCAGAAACTCATGAGCCCTCGGATTGCGCCAAGCTTTTTTAGCTCAACGCTCCAGCCAATCAGAGGGCCGCTGCGGTCACGTGATCGAAGCCATCTGACACACAACTGCTGGTTTTTTGGACAACAACATCAGTGACGTTGTGCACTTGGCCAGCAGCAAGTGGCTGTTGTGATGAATGCTTACGTATGTACACACACACACACACACACACACACACACACACACACACGTCCATGCGCACACAAAGAAGACATGTTAATGAATGAATAAAAGAAGAGCAGATGGCTGGCCTGTTGCCACTGAAAAACACACTCATAGACTTTTGCTTGGTTTGGCACTTAATGAGCAATCTGCTGCCACTGTATCTCCTTGACCTACATCTTACTGAAGAACATCTTTAACTAAAGACCCCTGCCACACAAACACACCCTCTTTCTTTTTTCTTTTACAAATCCTGTATTTTACAAATATGTATTTACATTTTTTTTTTTTTTTTATGTAGAATTCGAATCAAGTTTAAAAACGTACATATACAGTTATATAAATAGTGAGTGTCTTGCAGTCTTACATACACACATAGGTGCCGATTAGTGCCGATTCACAGGTACAGATGTAGGCCAGGTCATCCCAGCACGCAGGGAAGAGACTTAGACACCTGTCTGCTTAGCGTCCCCTTTACTTTCAGACACACCATGTAGTTATATAGAGCTCTGGGTCACCTCACCTGGAATAAAGCTCAGGGCAAATATAGCCCGGAGAGGAGAGAGCAGTTAAAACAACATATGGAGGGTAAAAAGAGAATGTGTGTACGTCTATACTTGGGAACCAGCGTGTGCAAAACAGAAAAAAATGAGATATCTGTGTTTATCACAAATGCCTTGAGAACACTTGACCTCGACTGAAACGAGTGTTATGTCGAATTATCAATATTGGCGCATATAACTGCTCTGAAAACAGCTTATTTCTCCTTTATGGTTTAAACTCGAGGTTCAGCATGCGTCTTTACCAAAATGTATTTGTCGTTACATAACCTTACCATACAGTGTTGACATTTTCAAAGCTAAAAGGGAAATGCCTGATTTGATACTTTAATTCCTTGTTCCTAAAATTATTCACTTCTGTTTGTTTGTTTAGTTTAAGTTAATAGTATAAATACGTTGTATAAGCCTGTGAAATTAACAAAGAGGAAAAAAAAGATTTGGGTAGCTTTCACAATGTACTATGAAAAGCAGAATTTGTATTCCAGTGTTTGAAAAGAAATGTTAAATCTCTGAAAAGATGACTGATATGTTGTTCACATTTTAGTAAAGTCCAAAGAATATAAAACACATTTTTACTTTTTACAATCACAAACTCATTATAGTTTTTATTTCTTAAAAATAGTTTCAGCAATGTCTTTATTTAGACGACATTTACCCCTCCTCCTCTTCATCTCCTTTCTTTTCCAAACTTGGCTGCTGAAGTCGTAAATTGGCTGCCATATGGACAAGACTACGATTCCAAGAGTGCAGCTTTACTGCCCAGTGTGGCGTGGGGGTTAATGGTGGTGCCGGTGGTAGAAGAAGTGTGTGCGTTGGAGAGAGGGAGGGGAGGTGGAGGGATTTGGGCTCTTTCACTGGGTGCCTGTGCCTGGCTGGGCTAATTTCTCTAATTTGTAGACAGTCTGGGCTCAGGCTCAGGGCTCAGAGGCTAAAGACTCGGCACTCCAGGATAGCAGGGCGAGCCGACTCATCTCACTCCTGGACACACATCACATCCAGGACGTCAAATAGTTCCAGACACGCTTTTCTCAGGGGAGGGAAACCTCATCCACAGGACGGGGGGGGGGGGGGCAAAGTGGAACTTGGGCCTTAGACCTAAGAAGGAGGGAGGGAGGTAACGGCACCAGACAGACAGAAAGGATAAGTGGGAGGAAAGACCTGAGGTCAGCTCCACGAAAGCTGTCTGAGACGGAGAGAAAATCAGACAAAGTGATGTGACCTGACACGCTGATAACGCTCAGGAGATGGTGTTCTGTAATAGCCTGGTCTAAAAGGGCACCTGTCGACATGCAATAGTCTATGAATATACCGCCGTAGTGTCAGGAACAGTGCAGAGAAAGCTGCCACCTGCTCGAGCATATGTGGATTTGTTGAGTTAAGTAACAAGCAATGCTGTAAGAAAGTAATCGATAGCAAAGAAGGAGAAGAAACATCTTAGTATGAAATCAGTTAAAGGCTTTATATGCGATTTTTTGATCCAGCAGATGTCGCCCCCTTGAGCACCAGCATGAAACCAAAACAACTCGCGCTGCATTGTTGTGTTAGCATGCTAATGCTAGCGATCTTTATTATGCAGGTATCTTCACACTGCATGTAAATTTACCTGAAATGAGCGTGATCTAGAAACACAGTTAAGCAGTGAGTACAGTATGTTATTCTTCTTTTCTCTAGTCCCTCAATTAAACAACTTTTATACACGAGGGGAGGAGTCAGCCGGCCGTCCCGGCGATGTAAACAAACTGAAGATAGGACTCTGAAAACTCTGAAAACATCACAGACAGTGGGACTCGGGTGTTACACCCATTGTAGACAGTCATGACTCACAGAGTTATTTTCAGAGGTTATACTTGATTCATGTTACATTTAAGTGTGAAAAATCACATTTAAAGACTTAGAACACTAACAAATGATGGGTCATCCTCTGAGATCAATTTAACTCTGCATTTACACTCAGCAATCAGCAACAAAAGACTAGAGTAGTAACAGTTGTTAGATGATTACAACAAGTTTATGAATGATTCCACCTCCATCTTAAAGTTCCACATTGTCCCTGTGTTTCATTTAGCATGTTCTGTTCTCAAGGTGTGAATTCAGTGTTATGTTTTAATGTGTTAAACTTTAATTATACAGCAAACAACCAGCAGTCCTTTTGGAGGAGTGAATTCTGAACCCCCTGTCCTGTGAGATTACGAATAGGGCAATTAGGAGTATAAACTACAGTAAATAATCCTATTGTTTACCCATCAGTAACCACTGATGCCTCCTCTTAAGCCCCTTTACAGATGCACCTCAGCCAATGGGCAACCAACACATGAAGGTGTGTCTGTATTGTGGCATTATCTACATTCAAACAGATTTTAAGAGAAGAGCTACATTTTAATAAAAGTTGAAGTAAACTCTTGCGCTTCAGCCCACTCCACAAATAGAGGTCTGTGTTCTCAGAGAAGGACTTAAGATGTACAAAAAGTATAATTCAAAAAGGATAATACTTCAAGACAGGAACCAGAGAACATACTGGAGCACATGAATCACTTAATATATATTTGATTGCACAGCCACGATTTTGCACAGCTCTGGAGAACCCCCTATATTGTTATTACATATGTACCACTGTCATCAGTGTTTTTGCAAACTTACACCTCTTACCTCCAGCAAGTATTTTTACATTCAGTTGACAAACCTGAATAAATGCTGTATTTCATTTTTCATTTTTTTTAACCAGTAAGAATGTTAAGTTAAATCCTTAATGTATGAATCTCTTCTTATTCTTATTTTTTCTTTATATTTTAAGTGCTTATTTACTATGTATCTATTCTTATAATTTGTTTTGCTCTGATAACCTGCTGCTGTAACACCACAATTTCCCAGTTTGGGATCAATAAAGTAATTCTATTCTATTCTATTCTATTAAGGCAAATGTAATATTTTAATGTTGATGCTTACGCCTTCTTTTTATCTACAGGGACACCGGAAAGATTAACAATAATTCAAGGTTATTTCTTTTTAAAAGAAAATGAATGCTTACAGTTAAATTCTTCTACACTACATACATACTACAATCTCTATTTTTTTTTAAAAAGTAAAAATACATTCATAGTGAGAATTATGGCGATCTGCAGTATGCTGTGAAAACCTGAATCGTGTAGTCAATTATGAGGAGTGCCTGAAATTTCCAATCCTCAAATGTCACTGTAATAGATTCATAGCAATCTGGAAGTCATATGAAGGGCACAGACTGCAGCGTAACTGTGACCTTACATAACACAGGGTGCACACAAAAGCAGGCGGAGTAATATTGACTGAACTTTCTTTCTTTTTCTCTGGAATTTGAGTTGAAGTCAAGAGCGCAAAGAAGTCGACAGTCGTTCTGACACAAAAATCACAAGAACGAAGAAGTAGAAGACAAGACGGTTTTCTGAAGCGACCGTCAGAAGGTTTAAAAAAAAACGTCCACATTTGATTTGAGAACACATAACTGATACGATGACGACCTTAGTTATTCACACACTATCAAGTACATGTTGTTCAGAGTTTACAACATGCAATTACAGTGAGCAAAGGTGACAGAAACTTTTTTTTTAGCCTGCTGGTTTCTGAGTGTTGAGGTGTTATCAGATCGAGGGTTAGCAGGTGTTATTCTTTGCTTTCAGTCAAAATGAAAGTGGAAATAGTCCAGCCAGTCACAGAAGAATTCAGACAGCTCACATGGTTTGTTTACAGCTTCTTATACAAAGAGACATACTCTCCCTCCGCCGTGGAAACATACCACGCCAAATACATTGGAACTAAGAGAGAGGTGAAGACACATTCAATCGTTTCTTATATCCTGCTATCCCTCTCGTTCCATTGGTGCTCCCCCTCCCTCTGTGTGTTTTTCCCGCTCCACCTCGGTAAACAGTAAACAGCTGAGCGGCAGATCTCAGGAAACAAAAAAAGAGGATTATTTGTCAGATAATGCATTGTTATGCAGCATTGCAGCTGTTGCTAGGGGCAACTTCTCCAGGAAGTAGATGACCTATTGGAAGAAGCCAAGAGAAACATGAAAAAACTGGTGTTGTTGTTTACTGACGCTGGCCAGCTTAGTTTTCACTCAGATCCCTTTAACCAGGAGGATTATCCCCGCTGGTTGAACCTTAAATATGTAAGATTACATTATTGAATTTCATCACTGTTGTTTTCCTGGAGCTGCGTTTTTGTTAGGCTTAATGGGTAGACGTCTTAAGTGGTTGGGCTCCTAATTGTGATCAGCTGGTAATTTGGTCTTTAGAGAACTTTTCTTTTATATTCATAAAATAATTAATAATGTTTCTTTAAAAGGATGCACCCTTATTCTAACTTAAAAGCCTTGAAAGAATCGTGTTTCATTTCCAGTTTCTTCACCTCCGTCTTTGTACAAAATACTGTAGAACTCGTTAGACCTGTTCAGTTACTTCGGGGGGGGAACTAATTTCCCTGGAAGAGGCCTCTGGCAATGAAATGACAGATGAGAACCGCTTTAAAGCTTACAGAAGCAATCATGTTCACATACAGAAATAAAAATCCTATATGTTGTCTAACGGTCAAAGGGGTCAATGTATATAATCCAGGTATGATTTGAAACACTAAAGCATCTTCACGTTTAATCTTCTGGAAAAAGACCTTTGCCCTTAGAAGTGTTGTTTCCAGAGGGGGGTTTGAAAAAAACAACCGACTTAAATCCTCCTTTTTTTTCTTTATCCGTCTTAAGATCAAAAATGTTTTTGATATCGTTTTCTTACATCAGATTGTAACTTCATACCTTCCTTTGCTTCTTTCTCTTCTTTCTTTGGAAATCCATTGGAAATTCTTCATGTTCATAGTGAATAAACATGACAATTCTTTGGTAGGGCTTGACTTGATTTGTCAGTCACTTTCACATCTGGTCATGCAGTGAGAGAGATTAAGACAATAAAGGGTCCAATCATTTCAATAAAGGTTGAACATTAACCCGAGCAAGATCAAGTGTTTTGATGTGAAAGCTCCCACAATGTTATGACATAGGCCGAGTTCACACATGCAGCAGGAGGGTATTTTTGATGATGTAGCCCTTTTGCACACACGCAATCTGTGTTTTAGATTTTGTAAAGATTTTCACATTTTAAGGTGTTTATGTGTAGACGGGGAAAATGGAGTTTTGGGGCTTGTAACGTCACACTGTGCACAGATTTCTCCTCCGTTTGAGGTCATTGTACAACGCTGTCACTTTTTGTTACCATGAGATCAGTGCAATGGCAGATGTAACCACACTAGTGTTAACATTGCTAACTGGATTTTTCACATGCTAACACATACATGCACAGTTGCTCTCCCAATTTATTGGCGTGCAAAGGCGCCTGAATGGACCACTTTGGTCATTGCAGAGGGAATGGCAAGAAAATGTTTGCATGTCAAGAACATCGTTTTTGACTTGGCAGTGTGTTTTGCTATTTCAAGTGCATGCAGATGTTTTTGAGAATTAAGCGTTTGTGGACGGGATTATTTTTTGAGTTTTCTGAGGAGGAGTATTCTGCCATGTAATTTTCTCTGTGACACCCAGAATAACTATGACCAGCACTCGCCTCCACAAGCTATGCCTGAGCCCACACGACCAAGACTTGAGGTGATGCAGCAGCTGAGATAGCTTCGAAATAAATCTTACCCCTAGGCTTTTATAGGTGTGACATCCTGCTTAAAATACTGGTTGTCATGGGGTATCTTTTAAAAAGGTGACATAACTTAAGGGGATGAGGAGCAGTAGAGGGTTTTTATGGCTGTTCATGGCCTTAGAAATGTATATCATTTTGATTCATACTTATCCTGCTTTCATTCAGTTTTCGCTGGCTGTAGATTAAAACTGTAGGCTGTATTTATCAACGTATCATAATGGTATGTACTACCTGTATGTTAGCAAGATTCAAAGTCAACATAACCGCTCATGAGATACATAAAAGTCAAGTTGGCAGCATGTTTTACAAGAGCACTACCTAGGTAGCCAGACATTTCATTCTTTTAAAACCAACTTAAAGAAGTTCATGGAAAACAGATAGCCAGGCTGCGGCCTTAAGTAGCTAATGAGACACGAGGTGATCACTTATGTGATACCAAGTGTTAGTGATTTAGAGGCGCAGTGTGCTTTTGCAGCTTCCGTGTCAAGAAAAGAGTGCAGCCAATGAGAATTTGAGTATCCACCAAAACCAGGGTGTAATAGAAGACAACCAGTGCATCTTAGTTCCTCAGACACACTGCATTGCATGTAGAAATTAGTCAGTGCATGCATTGCTTATGTGTGTCTATTTCTTTTGCCAAATGGTTGCTACAAACTGACACTGCCTATCAGTTATTCACTGTTACTGTGTGAAATGCAATCAAAATCAAAACCTGTAATAAAGTAGAAGAAATGTCAAATCTGACACTTTTCAAGCTCCTGCATGTCTGATTATCCTTTTACAGCCAAAACTAAGCGAGAGCTCACACTTTCTCACCAGTAACTGTAGAGTAAACTATTTTTTTTCGCAGTGACTGTGACAGACCCCAAATAAACCATCTCATTTTCACACCTTCTCTGGAGGTTGCGTGCCATCACAGAAGAGGAAGCAAAGCAGCAGATGAGAATGAGGCCTCTGCTCAAAAACAACATCCTTATCTTCAGTATCATCATCAGGTCTGTAAACATATATGGGTTTCTATGTTGGGGACTTTGCAACACTTCTAAATTAAATCGGAGGATTGCTGCTGGTAAAAAAACAAAAACAAAACCCTTGCTCATTGACTTTCAGTAAATAGGGTAAATGTCCTTATGTGTCATTAACAAACACATTTGCATTATAAAGATAAAGATAAACTTTATTGATCCCCCATGGGGGACATTTTTTTTGTTTCAACAGAACAGAAACAGGAATATAATTATCAAAAATAACAAGAAGTTAAAAATCAAACATATGTACATCGGTTAAATAAAGAGAAAAAACAATGGTATATTTCTTTGTATTGATATTCATCTTGCTGTCAGCTCTGTTGGATTTTCTTTAACTCAAACACACGATGAGTGTTTAGCTCTCACCTTTGGAATACTTTCTTTAGTAATGTATTCTGACAGTGTGAGATTCTGGTGTAAGTTGATGTTGTGATTGTCACAGTTTTGACTCGATGTTCATACTTCTGCTCTCAGCTGGTGGAGCAAGAAGGGGAACATATAACACATAACACACCCTTGGGTTGGGAACCAAAGGTTGCTGGTTTTTAAGCTCTGTTGTGGACCAGATGTGTAAATTGCTTTTGGTAGCTGGAGAAGTGCTGGTTCACATTGTGAGCAATGCAGAGGTGCGCAAGACACTGACTAATGAGGCACTGGTTTCCCACCAGTGCTTGACATTCAGTGTCAGACTTGCAGGCACATGCTCCCTGCACCCATCAGGTTTTCCATAACCTATACAGTTATTCCCAATTCTCGGAATTTGGCCTTTGAAATATTGAGAAATTCATATATTTCACAACTGTGGGACTTTAAATCCCCTGTAAATAGCAAAACCAGACTTCTTTCAAACAAGGATGGCTTGAAGCAAAAATGAATCACATTTTCCGAACAATGTGAGACATCTTTCTGTTAGTTTAGATTCAGATTCAGACAACTTAATTAATCACATGAAGGGCCATTCAGTTTCACAGCCTACCGAGCCATTGAGAGAAACCAAAGACAACATAAAGGAAACAGTCACAGAAACATTTAAACAATTACATTCACATGTCAGTAACAGCAATTCAACAGACGGAAACAGGTCGCCAAATGAGAATGGCTATTTCATAACTACAGCTGTAGGAATGTGTCTTAGATACATGAAATGAATAGACCTTACAGGTTACCTCAGCAAACAGTCCATACAGTAAGTCCACTTTAAGCTGAACACAAAAGTTACTGTACCACACACTTCATGGAGCTGCTTCTAAACACTTACACACAGGAAATTGTGAAAAATGTCCTTAGCTATGCAACATTTATTTTTAAAATTTTATTCACCAAAACGTGCATACACACACTCACAATAATAAAAAAAAAAGAGATACAAACAAGAGGGGAACTGTGGTACGATACAGTTTTGCAAGCAGATTTAGACAAAAACAAAGAAACAAACAAAACAAAAGGAAAAGGGTCAGTAAATAAAATGAATGAATTCGAAAGAGGGACAAAATAAGTAAATGAGCAAACAGGACAAAGACAAACATGGGGACAGTATAGTAACAAAATGATGTAAAATAAAACTGGTGGGATAGATAGTACACATGGTGACGATGTTTGGTTTTGGTTATTTGTTTGTTTTTGTTTTGTTTTTCACTTTGTATGGGTGCTAACATGATGATTGCCAAATACAGACTGTTTGTAAATTACATTAAAATTGTTGTGCTGATTTCCTCTCTCCTCCTCGATTACCTGCCTGGTTCTGCTGTGGCATCAACTCACCGGCATCAAAATGGTGCTGAGAATTGTGGAGCATATTTTGTTGAATTCTGTGAGTTGGTTTTTGAGTTATGCAAACTTTAAATGATTTTTTTCACTCTTATGTTCCTCTTTGCGTCCTCCTCATATTTACCTCAGTGAAAACATCTGCATATTAAAAAAGGGGGTTTCACTCCTACGAACAATTGTTAACAACTTGTAGATATTTGACTATAGGAACTTCATTTACAGGGTTACAAGACAGAGTGGTTGTGTCTGATATTGGGATTTTTTTTGTTGCATGTATTTTAGAACAGTTTATTTGTTGCAATATCTTAAACTGAAAGTATTTAGACCTGTTTGATATGCAGATGAAGAAAAGGTGTATAGTATTTCTCCTAAATTAAAAGAACTAGAAGGTTAAAAACTGAAGTACCTACAAATACCTGTGTTTCCATGAGTGTCATGCACTGATGTTTGTTACATGGAGCCATAAATATCATTTATGCTAATATCTGTGTTTTTTGCTCCAGTTGACCCCACTTAGATATAGTTGAAATCCCTGCGGATGTCAGCTTCAGCTCCATAATTCAGCTCCTGTTCATGGTGGCTAATTAGATTTCTAATGCTTTCATAATCTGTCCAGTGTCAACTATCAGATTGTGTTTATCCCATCCTGACTTTTTTCTCTGAACTAATGAGACCCTCCAAGCTCAAACTCTTAATTATAGCTTTGCTAACATGTAATTTATGAAGAAGGCCCCTGAACTAAAACGAGGTCCAAAGGCTCTAAGGTGTGGGGGTCAGAGGTCTCTGGGAGACTTAAAGATGAGGATGGGGAGAACGGGGATAAGAAAGAGGTGATGTCTGCACGCTTTTGGCTTGTGGTCAACAGGTGGGCCCCAACTCCCCCTCCTACACAATCTCACAGACCAACAGCTAAAGAGGAGGACTTTAGCCAATATCTGTCTGGCAGACAGAGAAGGGGGGATTTCAGCACCAAATCCAGCGGATCAATAAAAATGTCTGCTAATTAGGCTTTCAAGAAAAGAAGGGAACATTGGGGGGGAGAGTGAGGGGGAGAAAAAGAAAAACATGAACATAGCCAGTGCTGATTCAGAAGTCTAGACGGATAAGGAAAATCCCCAGACAGGCGTGTCCAGCCCACTGTGGAAAGCAGGTAAAGTACACAAGGTAACACCCCAGCTCGTGCCAGTGGAGTCCTGCCAAGCCCCTCCCCCCCCCCCCACCATCACTCTCTTCCCGAGTCAACAAACAGCAACCTCCCAGGCCTCAGCCATCAGTTTTCTCTGACCCCAATCCTTCCTCCGCCTCCTCCCACCTTTTTTCCTTTGCCCTCCTCCTTTTCCCTGCCCCTCCTCCTTCCTTATATTCTGGACATCACCACTTTGACCTAAATCTTCTCATTTAATCTTCTTCTTCTCTTACTCGTCTTTTGGATAACAATCAACCCCCCTAATTGTCTTAATCTCACTGGTCTTTTATTGTCACTGGGGCGTCATGCGTACCACAGAACAAAAACATTAACCACAGATCAATACTCGGCATCAGGCCGCGACTACCACCACGGGTCTTCATCGATTTTCACTCATTTAAGGTCGAACTGAGCTGCTTGTGGAATTAATTAGAATAAATTTAGGAAAGGGCCGGTCAGAGAAATTATCAGTTTGTGTTGTCAAGAAAAAACGATTGTTAAGAGTGAATGCACAAAAAAAAAAGTTATAACTCAAATCATTCAGCATTTTATTGTCACAGTAGGCAACTTTGAATAAACAGATGAGCAGCAGCACTGCTTAAGGTGAAGCATCATATATTTACAATTTGTTAAATGGGGGGGGGGATAAAAAAAAACATTTTAAGCATCTGTGGATTAAAGCCATCTGGAAATAGCAAACGACACAATCCAGCCAGTGTAAACACCTTCTTCAAATCTCCCCCGAAAGCCTCTTGTTATGCTCTCTAAATAAAACAAATCTGTACATTGTCAATTTCTAAAATGAGAAGCTTATGGAATGGCACTCTCGGTTATATTACAATACGGCGCTTTCGGGCCCTGAGCCAAAAGATATTAGCTTGGGAGCGGCGGTGTAAGCCAGGGATCAAGCTAAGGTTAGCGGGTGATTTGTGTATGATTTTTGAAATGACAACCAGGAAAAAAATAATCAAGATATTCAGAACAATAACGGATTATGTGTTTCAGTGGCTGCACTCCGCGCCATCTGTTGAGGAGCGTGGCGGGGGGGGGGGGTGGATCATGTTGTTCACTTGTGTGTGTGTGTGTGTGTTTATGTGTGTTTACATGGAGATGCTGATTTTTTACTTCTTCAATTTGCAATATGCAGATGTGTGTGTTTTTGACTGCTGCAGCATTTGGAGAAGTTCTCACCGCAGGATGACGTCTTATTTTTCAAGTCGCTGTTTCTTCTTCAGCTTCTAAATTTCTTCTCACTCCTTTGCACACTTTTTTTTCAACAACTCGCCTCCTCCCGTCTCCGCTGCTCTCCTCTCTCTCTCTCTCTCTCTCTCTCTCTCTCTCTCTCTCAGTGGGCGAGTCTGGAGCTGAGTCGCTGTCAGATGACACCGTCTGTGACTGTGCGCTACTGTAATCTGACATGGCTAATCTAATCTCTCTGTTCTTCACAGATTGGCAAACTACCTGCAGTCTCTCCAGCCAATCAGTGCCCATCTGCACAGCACGCCGCGCCGGCCAAATCCAGCCACGGCAGGGCCCCAGCCAGACTATAGCCAGGGCTCAAAGATGGCTCAGGCTGTCTGGGGCCCCGAATATCTGCTTCCATAACAGCCCCATCTGCCTTTGGCTTGGCCTGGTCCACTTTCATCCCCGCTGGCCCAGCAGATTAGGGATCTTCCGCAGACTTTATGGCCAATTAAAGCACTTACTGCCACACAGTTGTTAGGTAATCACCAACGCTATGATTCATCGCCGCGCTAAGTGGGCTAATTTGTGATCAAATGTTGTCATCAGTGCTTCTGCAATTCAGAGAAGGTTCTTCATATCTCATGAAAAATCCATTAAATGCAAATTCATTGTGTTTGCAGCCTTCGATTAAAACCAAAAAATGACGTCAAAAAATATCAAAGGATAAAAAGAAATGTTATACCCTAGTAATTTCCTCGTACATTTTCATAGCTTATGAGCTTTTTATCAAACAACATCCTGTTTTTATGACAAACAGGTGCTGCTTGACTTCCTTTTTGGTATAAAAACAAATACAAGAAATGTGAAATTATTATGAATAATAGTAATAACTTGCAATCGTTTTTTCCTGGAGTGTTGTATATAGTTATATACTGAGGTAAATACATTGAAACAAGGTCAGAGGCCCTCTAACAGCTTATTTTCTCATCAAGCCAGTCTCACTTAATCACCTTAGCTAAATTAGTTAGAAATTAGCCCTCTTTCTAACTCCTCGCCCACCATCATTCCCCTTCTTTTTTATCCTCCCCCCTTTTTCTCCACAGTAGTTTTCACAGCTTTGTGGATTAGACAGATTACACGTCTGAACCTCTGTTTTTGTTTCTCTCTCTCTCTCTCTCTCTCTCTCTCTCTCTCTCTCTCTGTGTTTCAGTCCCTACTTCTCAATCCAACTTAATCCAAGATGCACACTGTCTCAACATGTTGTTTTACCCCTGGACCTGATGGAGATTAAAACAGACAGATTCAGATGAAGTGGAGCTATGATAAAATGGGTTCATTGGAGGCGACGGACTCATTTATTTATATATATATATATATATATATATATATATATATATATATATATATTAAGATGTGTCCTTTGTATCTGGAGAAATTAGGAGTGTAATTCTGAATTTTTATATTAACTTTTCATAGACAAAGGGATTTAATGATTTATATAAAAACATCACAAAACTTTATTTTTAGCCATTTTCTTTGGGGATCAAAAAATGTAACCCTAACCCTATCAGATTTATTTTTGGGGCTTTTTGTGCCTTTAATGGATAGACAGGACAGTGGATAGAGTCGGAAATCAGGGAGAGAGAGAGAGTGGGGAATGACATGCAGGAAGGAGGCCACAGATGGGCGACAAACCCGGGCCGCCCGCCTGAGACAACAGCCTCCATACATGGGGCGCGCACACTAACCACTGCACCACCAGGTGTCATTAAAAAGCCCTGGATGGTTTCAGTGATTTCTTTTTGTGTATTTTTTTAAAATCATCAATAACTTGAAGGTAGAGTCATTAGAAATGTTTGTTGCAGCTTGTTAACACATCATTAAAACTTTGGCCCCTCCCCCTGGGTTTAGCACCACCAGAAGCGCACACTCACTGCTTGTTTACTGCTTGTACCTACCATACTGCAAGCTAGCGCATGCTATCACAAGCTAACCGCAGGTGTTTGGCTCCTGCCTGTCCAACAGAAAGCAGGCCAACTCCCCGTCTGTAGGTACAAGCCAACCGAAGGTACACCCGTTACTTTGGAACAAGCTTTATCCGCTTGGCGTTTGGCCTCACTATGAATATGTTTTTTCTTCTTCTTTGTCGCTACGTCCACGTCCGTAATATTCACCAGATTGAATCGCGTTCAATTGCTAAATTGTATCCAACCCCCCAAACTCACCTGCGTGCTGTAATTGGCTGTGGGTAACACACCAGCTCCCCTCCAGAAACGTCCCGTGTCAACCAAAAATAGCAGAACATGAAGTTACAGGTAGAGGCCGGGGTCTCTGCAGACACATGTAGGCTATAGAGGTGCGTCCGAACGATGAGTAGCATAACTTTTTCCTATATTTTATTTTCTCGGATAAAGTTTACGACTCTGCCTTTAAAGGTCCCATATTATGCTTTTCCTGGTTTTATCTGCTCTTTAGTGTGTTTTCCAAGTGTCCTGTGCATGTTTAGGTACATCTATGTGCAAAAATTCAAAGTCTGCTTCTCCTACGTCCTCCTGTTAGCTGTAGCATTAGCCGCATGTAACGCTCGGTTCTAGCCCCCCTCCATAAAAATGTGTCAGTGCGGCGTCATTGTCAGTGTGATGTCACTGATCTAAGCCCATTGGCTCGTTGTGGCAAACCCTGCAGCTCATGTTGAAATTTCCGAGAAGCGCGCTGAGCAACTGACCAATAACAACAGAGCGGATCGGCAGACCAATCAGAGCAGACTTGGCCCACGTGGGGTCTGACAGTGTGGGCTCAACAGAGTGTAGCTGACGGACTCAGAGCGCAGAGGAGGAGCAGTTCATGAAAACAGACAGTTTTTTCAGACTTTATCTATTGTGAACGTACAAAAGTAGGAACATAGATTAAATATACAATCCCAAAAAGGGCGTAATATGGGCTCTTTAATGTTGCTCGTTCAGGACTAGAGTTGGATGCCATGCCGAATTAGAGGTTAGCTGCAAAAATGTCTCCTTTTCTTTATTTATCTGTCAAGTTCAGACTCGCATCCCAACGATAAATTGTAGGTTATATTTTATAACACTCGCGGCTTCTCAGACTATAGATTTTGAAGTTGATGTGATAAATGTTTTAGGCTAAACATTTAATATTTTTATCACATGATTTATCTAAAAAAAAAAAAACAACAACAACGTATGCCGTCACTTGCCGTGATGACGTATCACTTCCGGGATAATAAACAGGCGAAGCAGCAGGCGGGTTGTACAAAACGTGTGCGTGTGTGTGTGTGTGTGTGTGTGTGTACGTGGATGAGTAAAAATGCTTTCACTTTCATTTCCCGTCTCCATTGACTCAGTGGACACGCTGAAGTCAGAACTTTAAAAAAAAGAGAATAAAAAACACACACAGCGGGAACTTTAAGACACCGCGAGAGAAAAAAAGGAAGACTAAGAAACTCCGCAATGGCGTTTAATTATCCGGCTGCACGTAGAGATGAGAGTAAGGTCAGTGTTGAGTCCTTTTATTTAACTCTCTCTTTCTTTTCTCTGTCTGTGTTGTTCTGTGAATGTCAGGTGTCGCGAGAACACGAGCAGGGAAAACGAGACCAGGAAGAGAAAGACGAGTCATGCGGGAGCAGAGTTAGAAAAGGCGAAACGGAGAGTGAGCGGAGAAAGAAAAACAAAACTTTAAGACCAAAATAAGCTCACATTCCGCCTATTCCGCGAACAAGCAACTTTAAAGAAGTGTCTCTTTCACATCCAGCTTTCCTCCCTGACCACTGCTTCATACCACACAAAAGTGAATCATCGCTTTCCCTTCCTCCCCAGCACAGCTCCAGTTCCCTGAACGCAACACAACACCACACAGGCCAACGCAATCTGATTTTTGTTTTCGTATTTATTGAATTATCATCACTTTGGAAAGTTATGTTTCCTTTAAAGCTGTCTGAAGCAAACCAATCTGTTAGTTAAATGCTGATTAAAACATTGTTTCAGTTAGATAAGTAGCTGCTTTAAAGGTTTAGATTGAATATAGAATTACTGCTTCCTAGTTTATGATTTTATTTATTTTTATTACTGAATTGCAGCACAATATTGCACATTAGTTGTTTTTCTAATTGCATATATGTCCATCTCTATGTCAGTATAAATGTTTTTTAGGGACTAAATGTGTAAATCACCATAATTAATTACTCATTCATATTTATCACCGGTGTTTTCTGTTCTTATTTAAATTGGATAAATGGATTAAATGATCTCATGGATTAAATAATTAAATTGCAATCTATCGCCTCGTTAAGCAGTAATAGAAAAACAGCCGGCCTCTTTTCTTTTTTTTCTTTTTTTTATGACCAACATTTTTATTGTTTTCAAATGTTTTACAACAGTACAATACCAGACAATAAATTATATAAAACAATACAAGACAAAAAAATAAAAAAATAAAACAGACCTGACAAACAAAAATTATAAATTAAATTAAATTAAAACAGCCGGCCCTTTACATTTCCTGATTAATCCAATAGACTGTCCAAAACTTAAAAATGTCCAGGAGATGATTTGGTCATTAATTTAAAAAAAAGTGAATATCTTGACATTTTTGCATTGAAAATCTCTCGTTTTCAAAATCCGCCATATGTCATTTATGTGTAATTGCAGAATGTAAACTCCTCTTAAGGTGATTATATCCCACAAACAAGGACACGACCTCAGTGTCCTAAGCAGAAACTGCGACCCTGCGTTTGTGTCTTCATCATGGCTGAAAGTTCCCCGTTTGACACAGCGCAGGACACTGCTGCGTAAGCGAACGATGCAGCATTACTGAGGGCTTTTAGAGCTGAGTCGATGACTGATGTGGAGAGTACATATTTGAGTTACATGAGGAAGGAAAACATCAGCAGTAGTTGGAAAATGTCTTATTGATGAGAGTTAAACTGACACAGGAGGAAGTCAGGAGACTCACATTGATCACACACATTGTCCCAAAGACACTTTAGACATCAGTTAATTAATAAGATTCGATCACAGACTAATGAGGCTCACTGTTACTCTGAATATTTCTGTAATATAAATATAATAAATATAATTATAAATAAAATATAAAAATTAATGTTGCCATTTAATGACACATTTTAAAGATTAAAACTCTGGACCATCAGAATAATCTCTCTCATTCTTGAGTATCTTTAAACATTTATTCTTGGGTGCAGATTTGATTTTTCTTGCAATTACTAAATACAACAACAATAACAGTCAAATCATTCAGCAAGAGAGAGAGAGAGTAGAATGTCATGAGTAATATTTTCCTAAATCAATGCACATCTCATGTCAGTCAGTAAGTCTTTTCTTTTGTTTTTGTTTTCATCGATCAAACAGTCAGCTGTCGGGCTGAGATGTTTCAGTAGTAGCGCTGAGATCAAACTGAAGAAACACTTCGCAAACACACCAGGAGCAGCGATTGCCTTGGTGCAGCATGCAAGCTTACCTACAAACGGCTGAATTCAGTCGGAACAGTCAGGGAGGCGTGAGGGGAGTCGGTGAGCTGAAGGAACAGCTTTGTTTTAGTTTGAGAGACTGTTACTCAAGTGCAACATGTTCGGGACTTTTTTTTTGAAAATTATCGATTTTTAAATCTAAGAAATGACCACAAATGTGCTGATTTGGATGAGCATTAGGCTCTGACTTGACAGTTCCCTGCAGAGAGGGGCTATGTCTTCACCACTGCCATGTTGTTGACAAACGTATTAAAACAGTTACTCAGATCATCTAATCACGGCCTCCTTTCCATCCGCCGCTCTAATTCTAAAACAAAAGGTGATCGTGCTTTCGCTGCTGTAACCCCCGACTCTGTGGAATCAACTCCCACAAACCATCAGATCTGCAGAATGTTTCAAGAAGTATCTAAAAAAAACTCGCCCATACAGACGAACCTTCATGTAACTCCCAAACCCTTCCTTGTGTTTAGTTTGTTTCTTAACTTTGCTCCTGCTTGACATCGTGATTTATTTATGTACATTTGCTCTCTGTATGAATTGTTTGATTGCTTTTATTTATGAAGCACTTTAGTGAGGTTTAAAAGTGCTATATAAAAAAAACCTTTACTTACTTAATTACAATCTTCAAAAAATGCTATCAAGAAAAATCCGGCCATTCATATCCGTTAGTAACTTGACGTGGAAACAGTAGTTCATGCATTCATTTCATCCCAGCTGATCCAAAATGCTGCAGCCAGATTCCTAACCAGGTCATACAGGGCAATCACTTGGATCACTTTTAAAGCTTATAGAGGGGTCAGCACCAGATTACATTGCTGACCTCCTGACCCCCCTCTACTAGCCCCCA